CAAATGTGAAAGTAGGGGCGGGAGGTGCACCGCCAGAGTAGAAAAAAAAGGAAAAAATTCTGAAATTCACAGCAAATACGACTCCTTCGCTCCACGCTGCGGAGAAGTTCCGAAGATCAGCTGAGGGATGAGAGATCATGGAAGCGCGCAGAGCGTTAGAGAAGTACGTGTAGAGATAGCAAAGCACATCAAATTGCGATGTAGACAATGCGATGCGGTGGGTGGGGCGTGCCACAACCGGTGGAGCGTTCCTAAATCCTTGGCGCCTAGCGTCCAGGGTCCGTTTTTCCGGTGTAGGGTGATGGGAGGAACCCAGCACTAGCCTCTCTTGTCCTTCTAGCCACTTTAAGGGCTCATAGGGCAGGTCTAAGCGCGAACTTTGCCTTCAAGCGCAATAAATAATAACCTCTACTGAGCTTACCAGGAAAGGCTATAAGGTCATGCCGTGCTTTTTGAATGTTTCTTTGCATCATGTATGGGCACGTGCATGAAACATGGAAGTAGGCTTTATTTTTCCTGAGCTGCCCTCCGAGCGCCAAAAAAGGAGGAAAAATGGTCCATGGTTCGAGCAATCGCGGTGTCAAAATTCTGCATTTTTGACTGGCGCTTGCAGGTATCGCAGAATGGTAGCTGTGGCTAGTTATGGATGTCTCATTATCATAAGGACCATCAGTAACCCATCCAAGTAGGTTTTCAATGAAAATTGGTGTCAAGAAGTTGTAGCGCTGGAGTTCTTTTTAACCCATTTTTTGAAGTTCTGTGGGCCATTCAGGAGAATAGAAGCATGGTTCTGTGTTCCACGCATGTGCCTCTATATCATGCAAAAAACCGCTTTAAAAGCGGGGCACGACCTTAAAGACCTTCCTGGTGAAGGAGAATGAAAAAGTATCTGCAGACCAAAAAAGCGGAGGAATCACATGAAATGAGTGTAGGGAGATTGTGAGCATACGAAAAAAGCAAGAATAAATCAGCATCCAGCCTCTATGTTTTTATCGAGCTACTTCTTGAGGCCGTCAAAGCTTACAGGCGCCTTTTCCTCAATGCTTAACTTGTGGTAACATGTATAAGCGGAATACTATCAGAAAGGCGGACTTACCATTAGAGCTGTTCCCTATCTAAAGCCTACTGAAACAATAACTATGTAATTCGACCGCTAAGGGTCAGGGTACAGGGACATGCCTCGTCGGAATTCATGGGTTCTGGCTATAGGGTGCTACTGAAGAATGTGGGATTGGTCATATGATGGATAACAAACTTTTCGGTACCAGATATACGCGAACGAGCACACTCCCACTATTTCGGATTGTCGATTTTCAGTGAAACGAAGCTCACCGATTCTACAGTAGCCGAACATTCTTTTTGAGAACCAGCTTTGCTCATCTTCAGGTCGAATGGCTCTACTCTATAGAACACTGCATGCTGCTCGAAAATTCAAAGTGGGCTCCATTCTAAGAATTTCCGTATCTTCAACTTGTTCTATCTCAATTTTTTATCAGCGATTGTAACATCTACACAGCCAACCAGAAATCAGACTGTATCAGCTCGTCTCTGCCTCCGGGCACCTTCACCAATGAATTGGAAGTACATCTTTATTCCTTCTTTCTGACGGGTAATAAAGAGTCAGGCCTGACAGATGCCCGAGCAAATAAAAAATTCAAAAAAGTAACAGACTGAAGAAATATTTATTTGCTTGTAACGAAGAATGCTCAATTGGTCAGTCCGGCCATTTGCGATGAGGTATAGTTCGCTGTACTCGTCTTGCGATGCTGAGCTCAAATCCGTTTTCGGTATCTGCGGAACGATTCTTTGAAAGAAGTTACGAGGGATTTTTTTCACAGTGGCGCCCTATACAGTGCGTTTCAAAAGTATGCGGACACCTCAAATTACACATTCAAAAGGTAGCTAAGAGGCTTCGTCCTACGAAACCCTCCTCAATCGATTCCTCGTAGTCGATGATCCATCTAT